GCCACCCTGTATCTCAAAACTTTTGTAATGACCCACGTATTAGTAGTGAAAATTGTAGGGCTTCACCCCTACATTACCAAATTTACAAAGTATTACCATATGGTAACCAATTGCCAGGTCTGTATTTATCCAGATGTGTTGATTCACCGAACTGAATTGATACCATGAACATCACAGTGGATTGTTTTGAAAAATTTGGCTTTAAACTCTAGGATGAAATTATAGGCTGCCACCATCCACCACTACCACCACCCTGTCCACCCCCAAATTAGCCTTTTAATCTTGTAATTGAATCACGTGAGCTAAATGGAATGAGGGAGTAAGGACTTGAGGGCCCAAAATGACTGATACAAACTAGCATCTTCCGGATGCATAATTTACTTTAAATTTGCTTATATCCAATGTAGAAAAGCTCTAGTATGAGACATCTATGTTTGCTAGTTCATTAGTGGAAGGAACACATTCAGTGAGCTACCTTTATATTTGTAGTGTTGGAGACTTATTACTCGTTCATTTGTGGTTATCAGTTGAAAGTTCAGTTCCTGAGATGTGCAATAGTAGTGTTTGAAAGGTAATGTTTAATAGTGATGGGGAACAGACATGTTTGACTTCTTTTCCCATATTGAATTTAGTTTGCATGTCTGTTTGAAATTAGACCGCTCAGCAGCACTTTGGAATAGTTTTATTAGCTTAACATTTTGTATATTAAATAAGTAAATATTGATGGTTGATTGAAGTCAAGGTTTTAAATTTTGAAAGCACAAAGGTATTTTATCCTTTTTAATTAAAGGAGAAAAGCCATTGGTTTATTTTCACAGATGATGTCTTTAATAATTAACTGTCTTAGCACAGAGGTGCCTTGGAACCAAGGGTACCATTAAAACTTAGTCAGAGCAAATTCCTAGGAAACTGTTTTCATGAGTCCTCTTTCTATTAACCTATAGCTGAAGCCTCTGAGAGGTATTAGGCCTTCAGAGAATGATGATGATTAACTAACTTGGGGAGGTATGTGTGTATGTGTGTCCTTTTTTTAAGTCAAAGTTTACAACCTTAGTACAAGTGTATGAGGCAGATAATTCTATTTGTAGACTACCTCCTTCCTGGAAAAGTCTCAGCTTCATATTCTCTTGAATATCCACAGAATTCTTGTTAGCATCAAAAGGTGACATACCACTTAAGATCTGTTCTCACTGGAGGGACTTATGATCGGTAGCCATAATTGGTATCTATCACCAGTCACTTTGCCAAGATGAATGCTGCTGGGCAATATAGCTGAAGTTAAAGAAGAGGAGGAGCAGGTTGAATGGAGTTTTAAGATAGCTGTGATATCTTTTGATAGCTTTTCTTTTGCTGTGGCCCCATCCACTTAGTTGTGTGCTGGAAAATGTTTGATAGCCAGGATTTCTGAAGTGGGTTGTGGAGGAGAAACCTTAACTTTGTAGTATTTGCTAATTTCTTTGCTTTAAGCCACTCCCCTTGTGCTTGATTTCAAGCCACGATCTTGGATTCACAAAGAGGCATACAAATTGTCCCAGAGCCTGTGTCAGCAAATCACTGTGTACTCCATTCAAGAGTAGATTTTCACATAATTTCTGAAATAATTTTTTCTCAGTCATATGCTGATTTTTAAAAATACAAAATTAAAACCCTCATATCTCACTTCAGTAATCCTTTAGGTCTTACTATGTTGCCCTGGCTGGTCTCTAGCTTTTGGGTTTAAGCAGTGTTCCTGCCTCAGCCTCCCAAGTAGCTATGACTACAGGGCCCTACATCGAGCCTGATTTAGTAATCCTTTTTTTTTTAATGGTTTATCACAGTGCTTTTGTGATGTTGCATTCCTCATGTCATGTTTTGTGTGTTTGAACAAAGGTAGAAATTCCCACTGAATTTTTGTTTAAAAATTATATACAATTTAAAGAATCTAGACTCTGAGAATACTCTGGTAGGAAAGAAAGGAATCTAGAGGCCCTCAAAATGTCAACCTTAAGCTTCTTAGAGATAACATATAAGCTTGACTGCCCTCTGTACATTTTGACATTTAAAATATAGGTATAATTGTTTTTCTTTCAAATAATTTTTTTTTTTT